ATGCCCGACAAGTGCTGCTGAAGGAAACAAACACATGGAAACTGAGGAACCCCTGTATAAACCACTCATGTCCTTGACATAAGGATTCCGAGCCATTTCCCTTTCAACGGTTCAATGGACACCACAACTAAATTGGTCAACTTTTGAACCGGAACATGGGTTGTTTTGACAGGACAGTTCGAGGGAAACCGCCTATTTTTATGTTGTTATTTTTTTTTGGGGGGAAATAACTTTGTTTTTGGTTTTGTTGCTCCCATACCAAGGGTTTGCAAGAATAGATGGGGGGTTGACCAATACAGCTGGCTCCAAAATGACCATCGGCAAGTTTCTTACTTAGTGGGAAATATGATAATTTGTGTGGTTTGCTCCAATGGTCATGTTCATGGGACCTTTTGATCAACCCCTCATATGCTTAAATGTTGCAAGGGCCAGGGTTTTGGTAGAGAACTCCGGGTGAGAGAACTCGCACAACCCAGAAAGAGCGTTTTAGTGTAAGGAGACCCGACCGGCATTGGGGTATTTAATCTCTTTTAGTGGATGGGAATGTTCACTTCGTTTATCCCAGCACCCTGGGGTTCAGCGAGTATGTCCAAGAAGGCCCCTGGAAATTATGCAGCAAGCTCTTGGCCATAATTCTGACTTGTTGCTGTTGCGGGTCTTCATAACCAATTGAACAATAAGAACTTGCTTTGTTGGCTCGAATATTGCATCACCGCGCGGAACAGTTCACGGTGAGTCATGGTCTGCGGAGTATTTCAGATATTCTGCCCAGGTAGTTCTGCCGCGCCCGACCGCAGATGCAGCACAAAGACAAGCCTGGGATTGCGACACTCCCAGCGCGTGCCGCGAGTTGTGTAAGTTGCCCAAGGGGCGGATGCCGAAACGGCTTGGGACTGCGCAGCACTTTGCGGATCCTTAGATCCTTTGGTCAAAGCGGAAGTGTGGGGCCAGACCAGTCTTTGGTGCTTGACCTCATTTTACCCTTCAGTTGCTTCCATGTTTTGCTCCTCGCGCATTTTAGTCACTTTGGGTGTTACCAGTTTAGGTGTTCTTATTCCAGGTTCCCCCTTTTACCGAATTGTTTGGGCCAACCCTCGTCCTACAACCAAGCCGTTGACGGTGACCTTTTTGGGTGCTTGATGCACTCACCATGCAGCGCTAAATTGCGCTGCGTCATGCACTTGCACTATGCAGCTAGCAGGCTAGCATATTCATTGTCTTGAGGGCCTGAGAAGCGACCAGCGCAAGCATCAGCTTCGGTTTGGATCGGCCTACTCCCTGGAAGTTCGAGATGATTCCTCTCAATCGTGTTTGCCTTCCCGGTTTCATATGCCAGAGTGTCCCTTGGTACCTCTTATTTTCGCGGATTTGAGGCAATTGTAATGGACGAATCCCCGAACGAACCAAACCCAACGCCGTAAAGCAATTTGGGGTACTGCTCGGGATCCTCTGGGTATAACTTCTGCAGGAGTTCAGCCTTTTCTTCACTGTTCTTGGATCATGTTTTTGGTTTCTTAGTTTTTTGGTTCTGTTCATTTTTACTGGTCTGCAAAAAACAGTCAGTTTTTCGCTACCGTAAACCAAGAGTAGAGCTGTGTTGGAGCTGTTCGGACTGTGAAACCCAGGGAGTGCCTTTCGATCCTCCAGAGGCAGATGTCTGAGACCCGGTTGCGGCAAAGAGATGTGTTCGTTCGCACGGGGGCGGGGAGTGCCAATTTGTTTTCCCGAACCTGGAAGTAGGTTTAGACGTTGCGTCCGCAAACAATCCCTCCTTTCGCGAGATGGTAGTGGGGGACACCCGTACGGATTACAGAATAGAAATCCTTGCATTTGCTTAAGAATATGTTGTTATTTTGTCCTGTTGGTTTTAAAGGAAATCTATCACTTATTTTTTCCAGGGGTCTTAACCAAATGGAAGAATCCCTTCATTTTGAACAAGCCAGTCAACCAGCAAAACCAGGGAACCTTTTTTCCCCCATGGCCAGTGGTTGCGACTGCGACAGCTTCGGGTGAGATGTGGTTGCTGCACCTGTTCTGTTTCAAAGAATTTGAGTGGGCAACCTCCAATAGCAATAGCCCACACACATGAATTTGCCAGGAAACAGGAGAACTGGAGGATGAGGTCAGGGCGCTTGTTTCATTGGCGACTACACGTGAAGTGGGCGACATATCATAGAAGTACGTTGGTTGATGAGGCATGCGTGTGGCTCGAAATTGAAGAGGTAGGGTTTCGCAGCTTTGATCTTTGGTTCCATTTGCCAAGGTGTCATTTTGGAATTCATGTTTTGGAGCCACAGCCGTATGTTATTAGTGGATATGTCCAAGGAAGCGAGGGGTTGGGGTGGCTTTCTTTGTCCAGGGTTGTGAGCTGCTTAATGGTAGTGCTTATACAAACGCTCCTGTTCCAGGGGGTGACAAATTGCCAAGTCCAACCGCAAAAACTCGAGGGAAGCTGACAGTTGGCCCTTTCACCCGAAATGGACAGGACTCGCAGTTGACGAAATTGACCTGACCGGGCCAAAGCAGAAACAGTTTTCTCGTTTACTGTCCGGTGAAGATGATGGTTGTATGTTGGTTGCTTCGCAAAAGCACTGCTGGAGGCTGGAGGTTTGATATTATAGTGTAACGCGGCGTTTGATTTGGGCCATATTTGAGGGTGGCACTTTGGGCGTGGTATTTGCTTTTGTTCGCTGCTGGCTGCAGGCACCCATTAATTGGTGGATGCGTTTTGTTTGCATGTGTGGTTGTTTCATTTCTATTGACGCTTCGGTTGACAACGCATGTTGTACACTGGGGTTTGCGAAGCTATCCGCGGACGTCCCGCAGTGGACGCACATGCGAGCAGAGACTTGGAAGGGAGCCGGGCTTTGCTACATCTCCACGGAGGATGACACGCCCAGCATCTCTAGCAGTGATGAACGATGAGAATCATCTCCAGCAGCATCCCCGGCATCGAAAATGCAGCGCTTTTCGTTCCGGAGGGGCTTGGCATCCTCAGATTCGGCTGGTGCAGAGGGAGCGGTTCCTTTGGAGCTCCGACCGATTTCTGGCCGCTCGAAGCGCTCGCTCCAGCCGAGTCCGTTGCGCCGGAATCTAAACATGGCTGTTGTTGGGACACATTTTACATGTTGCCTATTGTGGTTTCTGGGAAATCTTTCCCATTTTTGGCGTAAACTGTGGTTTAGTGGTTGCAAATCCAACCACTGAACTGCTAAAACATAATATGTTTTGCTCCCCAAACCCAACGTCAACCAAGCAAACGCCCTGGAGCCAAGCAGATGCCAAGCCTCTCCGTGGCCTCTCCGCATGGGATCGCTGGCACCTTGGGCAGCATCGGCCTCATTTGGGCCATGGGGCGGGTCTATTTTGGAGGGTACGCCTTTTTTTTTGGGGGGGGGCTCAGGGAAACTAAAAGGAAAACCACACCCAAGTTTCCGAACTAGGCAGAAAAACAGTTCGGACATTCTGTTCTGAGCAGCTCTCTCCAGATGTTGAAACTCTCATCAAAAGCTAACTCTCAGGTGCAGAAGGGGCCTTCCAAATTCGTTGCGCCCACCGACGATGATTGAAGAGGGTGTATCATCCTATGTTTCAATGCTCACGTATAGCTTTGGCACCCTATCAGCCTTGCCTGGGAAGGCTAAGTCTTGTTAGGACGCTTGTTGAGTGGGACCCTGAAAACAAGGCCCAGCAGAATCCCTAAAGCGGATCAGTACATGTGTGCCCCTTAGAAACGGATTTGCAGCACAGATTCGCTCCAAAACCCAGGTTTTGCCATGCATCAGTCACTTGCACCAGCTGATTTAGAGGATTCCCTCCAAAACCCAGGTTTGGCCATTGATCAAGCACTTTCACCAGCTGATTTAGAGGATTCGCTCAAAAACCCAGATTTGCCATGTATCATGCCATGAATCAAGAACAAGAAGCGGCAGAAGGGACGTATGACTAGTTCCAACAAGGAACCGCCGGTGGTTGGCGGACGCAAATTCCCGCCTAAGTAGTGTCCGCTAAAGGTCCCCGATAAGAATTGACGATATTATGCTGCTTCTGTTTCTGGGCGTTATCAAAGTCTGAAATGGGTGGTTGTTTCACTTTTTCCTACCACTCAAGGGTGGCTTTGATCAGGGCAAAGTCATGGTGCCAGGAGAAATAATGCCCATCCCTTGGCATGTGATGCGTCGTCGCAGCCGCTATGGCTCCGGTTGGCTGGCCTCTTTTGTTTTTTTTGCAAATGGTCAGTTTGTTCGATGTGAAAGGGGCATGCGATTTCCCGCATGCAACTCAACTGTGATTCGAGCTCACCCCCCGAGTTTGTGGACTAGCTATTTTGTGAAGACAAGTTTAATGGCACGCAACAGGTAGAAGTTTGTTTGGCCAACCGACTCGATGGGAAGTGAGTTTGGGCTTTAAGCCACGCTTTGGGCCCCCAAGAGAAACCTTGTGAGCAAACCTGATCTGGCAGTCAGGCATGCCACCTGCACGAGACATCCATAGCAAGTTGCCAGTGCCTCGAAAAGATACGGCGCAAACTTATGGGTAATTGGAAAGCTTGCTACTTGTTACATCTGAACTGGGTTGAGTTCAATGAAGTTGGATACCTCGACCACGCCACCTATCACGCACAATTTTGTCAAACGTTTGTTCCTTCGCCATAATAAGTACAAGCTGCGTTATGACAAGCATCCAAGAAGTGGGGGGATAAACAATTGTGTGCGAAAGGGTGGTTGAGCCACCGTCTTTACTTTGCATGTTTTTAAGGTCTGTTTGGTGGTTCCCCTTTTTGGCTGTTTTAAAGGAAGACGAACAGAAAACAGCCCATTTTGGAGGGCCCACCTTAAAACGACACCCAAAATCATCCTTTGCAGAAGCTTATCATTTGCCGGGTTTGGAATACCCTGAGCTCTGCCGCACTTCCATGGATAAATTTGGTTGCATGTTGCATGTTTTTGTTTTTCGCGACGCAGGCGCTATGCATTCGAGTTTCATGGCCCATTGAATCCGTGCAGCTGGAACTGGTCGGAACCGCCTTTTTGGCCGCGGCCATGGAACGCGCCATGGAAGGCTACAGGAAGGAGAGAAAATGCCGAGCCCTCGGCCGGAAGGAGGGAGGGAGCTTAGCCATTCTCTCCTTTCAAAGGGCTCGGAATACCAAATTTTGGGCGGTTTATTGGGGGTTTCCAGCAGGAGAATCGGGTCTCTCTTCTTGTTTTTGGTGGGGGGGGTGATGTCAAAAACAGCTATGTTCAGCCGGGAATGAGTAAGGCCGGGATTGCTCTCCTCCCACTTTGCCCATAGCCAACTGACTTCATATAGGGGCTCATCTCTGTCTCCAGGGAACGTGGGTGCACATCTAACGAGCCAAATTTGACCGGACCAGCGCCTTTAGGTGTTGCTTCCCGTCAGTTCACTCAATGCCTGAGCTCCCGGGCTTGAATCTGTTGGGGCGACAAAATTTTAGCGGACATTACCACAGCTTCACTTTTTGTAGCCAATCCGCTCGATCGGAAGTGAGCCCAAGAGTTGCGCATGCCACCTTTTTTTTGTCTAGCCCTTACATGCGCTTTGGACGACCCTCGGACGACTGTTGGGACTTGTGGTTTTGGACATGGAAAAACAGTTGAAGGGGTGCTGGCTGAACAAATTAACAGAAGGCAAACTACAAGTTGAAGTATTTATGGGTGCTTGCGCTGGGCCAGTTGCAGTTGTTTATAGCGAGTGCTGGTGTATATATATATATGTATATATACATGGACCAGTATATACATAAATGCATGTACGCACGCACATATGCAAATATACATACACACATATATATATATATGTATATACAGATGCCTGTACTATTTCCCCGTTGCGGAAGTCGCACTTCCTTAGTTGCAGTTGCAAGTTGGATTGTTTAGACAGGTCAAACCATCCTGGTTCACTGGTGAACCCAGTGCCAGCAACCCTTTACCTTTCGTAAGAAGGTACAAGTCAAGCACCTTTGGAGGTGGAGGTTTCAATCCAGGATTTAGAGAACATGTTCCACAAAACTCTTAATCTTGATAGGGTGGTCACTCTGATAGGGGATTCGGACATCCATCAAGAGTTCTTGGTTAGGGTCGCCCGCCCCCCTCCCTCAGGACCGTGGCCCTCGGTTTCCTCGACCTTTGCTATACGTCGGAAAACTGCTTGGAGGAAACGCTGTGCTCTGCTCTTGACTGCTATTGGGTTGGATCTTTAGAGACTAACTTTTTGGGGAAATCAAGGGGGTTTTCCACTAAACCCCAAAAAGTTAAACTTTTTGCAGGGGGGTCTCGCCAGCAACCAAGTGCTGACAAAACAAACGGTGCCAAAACGAACCACTAGGAGAATTGCAGAGTTTCGACCATGGCTCACGTGTCGCCAGGGGCGCTTTGTGCCATTTTGACGCCGTGGGGAGCTCAGTGAACTGCGTGAGGCGTATCACTAGGGGGTGGCTTTTCACATTTGGGTCATGATGTTGGTTCTGTTTCTGGGGAGCTTCAATTTGCTGACTTGTTTTTGTTTTACCCCGTTGGTTTTCACGGGAACCTATCACTACTGGAATTTTGTCTTTGTTTGCAGGGGGCTTACGCAAATGCAAGAAGAACAGAAGGGTTGTTTCCCAATGCAAGAAAGTCAGAAGGGTTGTTTCCCTTTACCCTATCACTGGCACTGCCACCGCTTCTGTGCTAAGGTGCGCCGCCTTTGTTGGTGCACAGGCCGGACAACCGAACAGATGTGTCATGGATTTTACCAGGTGTATGCGTGAGGCATTTGTCTTCGCCGCGGTTTGCCACTATGGTGCTTTTCTTGGATTCATTTGGGCCGTGTGTCCATGCAGGTTTGGTTGAACGCTTTTCAGAGGAGCGTGTCGCCAGGGGATTCAGGATCCAATTTGGGAAGTCAAGAGGGTCTGGCGGCTTGACGCATTCCCTTTCTCCTTTTCGGGGATAAAACCGATGCCCAACATCTCACTATGTCAGCAGAACAGGTCATGCAAACCCTAACTCAGCTAGACATTGGCAAGGCCAGGCAAACAGATCGAGAAACCCCAAAAACAACTAGACTATCCTTCCGACCCTTTGAAAATGGTTGGTCATTACCCAAAATGAAGGGGTCATGGACTCCATGTTTTTTTTCCCACTGTTTCTGGGATAAATAAGCAGCCCCCCTGGTGCAGAAACCCTTTTCAAGGGAGGCTGTTCATTGGAAAAGGCGAAGCCTGTCATGGACTTATTTTTCTAGGGCTCAGAAGGAGACTCTAGGTACCGGGCTCTTCCCAGAGGTGAGCTGCGGCTTCCGAGAGGTGGCCCCGAAGAGGGCGCGCATTCAGCGGAGAGCTGATCCAGATCTGGGCGCCGTGGCCTTCCAAAACCCGGCTGAATCGGTGGACATCGGAGGACTTCCATTTGCTGAAACGAATCTTCCCAGACCAGCCAAGGTAACTTCCCCAGAATTCGCTCCCCGTTTTGCTTCTTGTTTTTTTTGCTTTTTGGGGGCCCTTTGTTTTCCACTCACCGGGCAAAAAAGATATATATATATATATATTTCTTGCTGGGGTCCTAATTCCAGCCTAGGTAACATATACCTACAAATTATGACACATTTGGAGGTTCAATATGGGTAGTTATGGCATGCATGGATTGTGTTGCCACGCTGGTTTAAAGGGAATCGATCTCACTATTGTTGTTGATTTGTTTTTCCAGGGGGCGAAAAAGCAAGTGGAAGTGGATTGGTGTGACTTGGAAACAACTGAGTCGGGCAATCATGTTTTCCTAAGGCACTCGAGGCCAAAAATGGCGCAGCGGCTTCTCCTTTTGGCTTCCCAGTAGAAGCACCAAGAAAGGGGGAAGACCGGTCTAGAGTCTAGAGGATAGAGGTAAAGAAAAGGATTGAACTTTTCTTGGCCAGTCCACGCAGGAAGTGAGGGAAAGCTTCTCTTGGTGAACCTTGAGAATGTGAGCAAACCCCTATTTCTGAGGGCTAAATGAGAAGCTACCCCAAACCACCAAACCAATCCAAGACACCAAGCAGAGGGAAGCTGACAAATATATGTTTTCCTTTCCGTTTCCCTTTCAATATCAAGCAAAAGAGCAACCCAAGTCAGCAATCCATGTCAATCCAAGTCACCAGTGACCAATCAATCCACCAATCCACAGGGGAATCTGCCTAGATCGCCAAGTTGCTGCTTTTTTCAGTCACTGTTGCCTGTTTTTGGGGTAAAGTTCATGAAAAAACATCAAAAAGCAACTGGCCATCCGGGTGGTTTCCTTTTGGTTTCCCCTTAAGCTCCACCACGGGCTCCGGCCCCGCACTCGGCGAAAAAACATCGGCTTTCGGCTCGTCGAGGCTCGATTTACATCGAGCCAATGGACGTGGAGCCCTCCTTCGCTTGGTCCCGCATCGCGGAAGTGCAGCAACGCCTCCGGAGCGCCTTGGCGGTTTTTCGGGAATCCCTCAGCGGGGGGGCTGGTGGTAGGGGGAGGGGGGGTTCCCTAAAGCTCCCCAACCAGAAGCAAACCCTAGGCTACCCGAGAACTGCAAGGAACTGCTCTCAACTACCCACCCCAATTTCCATACCTGTGGCAAAACCTTCCCCTCGGTTCGATGTGCCAGGCAGTTGGAACGAGGGCTTCCTGTAACTCACTTCCCGAGTTCTGTTTCGGACTTTAGTCACTCTATGGGTTTGGACCGTTTTAGTCGCAAACAGACTGTTCAGATTTTTTGTTGGCCAATCCACTCGATCGGAAGTGAGTTAAGAGGAACCCTGGATTAAGTTTCCCTTCAAGCCTGTTTCTCTGATTGTACCTTCCCCGTTTCCAGAGATCCTTCTTTCCAGAAACCTCCGGCTGAGTTTTGAAAAGAACGATGGTTGAGAAGATGGGGACTCAGCCCCCAGATTTCCGGGCAGTTGAAATTTCGCGGGTGCCTTTTTCAAAGCCTGGTTTCAAGGGGAAACAAAGGGAAACTCATATTTGTTGGGCTCCCCCCCATTTTCACGCGCACACGCACGCACTCTACTTGATTCGGTTGTGAGAGGCAATTATCAACCTTTCGGCCTGAGGGTTCCAGAAAGCATGGGGCGATGTTGACAGCTTCCATTGGGTTAAGATTTTTGTTTTAAAGGGAATCGATTTCACTACTGGAAATATTCTTAGTTGTTTTTTTCAGGGGACTTAAGCAAATAGAGTGAAAAGGGAAAGGGTGCGAGCATTGAGGGACATACCCACGCTGATTGTCCTCCTTTCGGGCCCTCTTTCAGGTTCCGGATTTCTTGGGAGGATTTTGGTGGTGGATACGGGGACTGCAAATCTGGGAATCCGCCACTGGAGGTCTGAGGTCTGAAGTGGAAAAGCCTGGGAACCGAGGCACCCAGCCAGCTTTTGCGTGTTGCCAGCTGAAACGGAAGCCAACTCAGGAGGTCATGCATGCAATTCCATGAAGCTAGTTGAAATGGAAGATGGAGGAAGATGAAGCCAAAAGGCAAGAAGTGAAACTGAGAAGCTACGTCCGGCAGTAGAACAAACTGGCACCCTGTCTTTCTTGCTTGTGGCGGTGCCCCTCCCAAAAATAACTTTTGCCTTGGAATGCGCGGATTGCCGACTTCCGAGGTTACACCGACTTGCCACTTGGCCGAGGGAGCGGGTCCAGACCTCCCCGATGCCCCAAACTCGGGGTGTGCCGACCAAGTGGCGCAACGGTTGTCCACGTGGGTCCCTTTTAAAGAATATTGTTGATTTTCCCCTGTTGGTTTTAAAGGGATTTTAACATCACTGGAAATATGTTTTTTTTTTCCAGGGGACTTAAGCAAATGGAGGAAACGGGGATGCCGGGGATTCCCTCGAATGAAGACACACTCATTTTGGGTGTGCAACGGTTTTTGATGTTGGGTACAGGGGGAGCACATCACATGGAGGGTTTGGCTTTCTTGGCTTTGTAGATCTGGACTGCAATCAATTTTAGTTAGTTGTTCGCATACCAGCGGGTTGGGACACGTGTTGGATGTTTATGTTGTTTTAGGCGGAGCCAGTTTTTGTTTTGAAGGTTGGGGGTCACTGACATCTTCCCTGAAGTGTGAAGCCTGCAGCATCCGTATGGCAAGAAGTATGCGGTCCATTTCCATGTCAGGCGTGTCGCCAATGCCCCACGGAAGCGAGGATGGCCACGTGAGATCTATAGGGCTGCTGCACGCACGGCACAGAGAAGGAAGCTGATATTAGGGGTGGCTTCAAGCGGCCAAATCAAAGGTTAACCAATTTACTGGTGGGTTCAATCGTTCACTGCCACTTAGTCACTTTGGTGTGTCTTATTTTGAGGATCCCCCCTTTTGGAGCTGTTGGATTTTCTTAGAGGCCCCCTATTTCAATCTTGGTGCTTGCCGGCTGGCTGCCTGCCTGCCTGCCCGCCTGCCTGCTTGCGGCTTGGGCCATGGAATCAACTGAAATCGCAACCTCACCTACTGGGTTGTCACCTCAGGAAAGACATGGAAAGACACTGGCCTTACTGGGGTTCAGGCTGGTGAATCAATATAATCCTGCAAGTCATCATGAAAAGGACCCCCCCCCCAACCTCTTCCTTGTGGAGGCAGTTTGAATGAATCTCCCTTGGAAGAACCGACCCGAAGGCGTTGTGTTCTGGTCCGTCGCTCAGAGGCATAAGGACCAACATAAGCAGACTGTCTCAGAACCTTTCGATCATCACCCCTTCTAAGACTCACTTGCCTAAAGCGAGTCGACCTTTTGAGCTTTTAGTTTCGCCCATTCCCACTTTTGGTCAGTGCAACCAAGGTGATCGCCAAACTTGTTTCTGGGCAACTGAGATTCAAAGGCTCCTTAACACTTCTGAAGGTTGTTGGCATCGCTCCGAGGAAGTACAACCAACGACCGGCCGTGGACAACCCTGCCTTGCTCTGGTGGTTTCTCAGAGATCGACGGCTAGATGTGAACGAGGCGCGGAGGGCGGGCGAACCGCTTCCTTTTTCGCAGCTTGGTCGTCTCATGTCGTCTCTCAGTTCCTGGCTCGGTGGAGCTTTGAAACTTTGCTGGGATGTCTCAGTGGACTTAGCATGAGTCGTGCGAACTCAGGCCTTCGTCATATTCCGTCGGTGTTCTTTCCCCAAACCGCCAATTCAGTGCAAACTGTGCTTAGTTAGGTGTAACAATGACTTCTTTAACTTCACCTATGTGTTTTCAAAAACAGACCCCTGGAATCTTTCTGAGAACTTTTGTTCACTTAAGTCAAGTACCCCGAAATTGGTGGGCTGGATTGGCGGCTAGGAATTCGACATTTCCACCAGAGCTTGTTTTGAAACCGACTGAGCCATCAGTTTGGACAGCCCAGTTGCAAGACTCAACTTCCTGGAGTTTGTTTTTCTAGTCATCTCCTGTTTCGGTGTGTTGTGGGGCACCGGGCCCCCAAGTCAGTTTGGATAAAGAAATACGTAGAAATGGGAGGGGTTGTGTTGGTTTATGGTTCTATGCCCTTTTCCAGGGAACCCGTCTATATTTCATGGAATCTTCGGGGGATATGGGGGGGGGCTGTCCCTGGACAAGCCCAGGATAACCCAAGGATCAGCCCTTAATAAGGCCTTATTAAGGGCTTAAAAAGGGATAGCCCCCCCCCCAGGGTCCATGAACATTCTTAGCAAAGGGCAGATCCATTTTGGGCATCCACGAGCCAGATCCAGGAGCCGAAAGGAGAGCTCGTGCAGGTAGCGATGATTTTCCTTGGTGGCTCCCAGCTATCCGGTTCCTTAGCTTTTTAGGGTTTAGTGAAAAGGTAAACTTTTAGCAGGGGGTCTGAGGGCAGCCCGGTTCCATATTGCCTCACATCCCAGTGGGTGGGTGGAGACAGGTACCGAAGGTGGCTAACCCGATGGATTATACAGGGCTCACTGGATTTCCCCAAATCAAAAGTTGCGATTTACTGCGGGCTTGTATCGAAACCATCGCCACTTTGGGAGATTCCCGTTAAAGGGAAATGGCTCGGAAACCCTGTTATCACCCAGGTGGCTGACCACTTTGTAGCTCGGCAACGAAGAAGCCCAAGTCAGGGAGTATAGCTACTCACTTCCTGATTTCGGTTTCGGACTTTAGGCACTTTTTGGGATTGGACCACTTTAGTGGCACTCAAAAAGTGTACCGTGGATACTTGTTTTGGGCCATCCACTCGATCGGAAATGAGACAAGGGGGGGGTCAACCCGCATTAAAGAATGGCAAGGACCCAATTTGGATGATGACAACCCTTAAACAATGGCAAGGACCCAATTTGGATGATGACAACCCTTAAACAATGGTGGTCATATGCACACAACCTGGGGTGCCTTTTCCATTCTTTCCAGGGATCCTTCTTTCTAGAAACCCTCCGGACACCCAGGGAACATTCCGGTTCTTGAAAAGAACGATGGGTTGAAAAGAATGGTTGGCTAAGTACCCCAGTAGTGCTCTTTCTCACCTTTTTTGGGGTTTTGGGTTCCCCTACTAAAATAGACTGACAACTGGGGGACCTAGTTGGAATCCACCCCATTGTTTTACTTCCATTTGATTAAGTTAAGAATATTTTGTATTTCCCCCTGTTGGTTTTACAGGGAATCAATTTCACTACTGGAGAAAAACACAGGGGACGAAAAAGCAAATGGAGGGTTGGCTAGCCTCATTCCCACGTTGAATCAACCCCTAGAACTGTTGCGAAGTCCGCTTCTCGCACCTGAGAAACCATGGCAGAAACCATTGGTTGGTGGGTATTTAGAGGGGGAACCTTATTACTACAGAACTTTGGTGCATTTTGCCGAGGGCTGTTAGTTGACTTTCACTTTTTGATCCAACTCTTGGGTTTTCCGTACTAAACCACTAAAAGTTAGTCACTTTTAGCAGGGCTTCGCAGATTTCGCAACCGAGAGAAAGAAGTTGGCCACATTATTCTAGCCTCTCTACTGAAAAACCCAGAATTGGAATCAACCCTCCTGGACCTTCGTCCTCCTGAAAAAAAAACGCAGTTTCCGCCTTTGACTGGATATTCGGGATATTCGGGATATTCGGGTCTCCTAAAACACCCAGAAATTTCCCGGAGTTTGAAGGTCCGGGCTTGTGGTTTTAATGGTGCTTCGAAATTCCGGGAAAGTTTCCCTCGTAGTTCGCTAGGCCACCGAGAAGCTGGTGAAGTGCCTGCGATGGCGCCGGGCCTTTCGTCCCTCTTCAATCGCGGGGAGGGGTCTCGGATCGGTTGAAGGGAAACCCCAGAGGTCCAAGGAGGGTCTAAAATGAAAATGGGGTCCCGCTACTGTCCATTAGTTTTGGGGTCTACAATGCACGTACCCAGGGGTTCCCTGTGATACCTGAGATCATGTGTTTTTGAGGTTCGGCCCTTCAAACTGGTGCTTGTCCTGTTGGTCTCACTTGAAGGACATATATCTTTGTTAGGGGATTAAAACCGGACTTTTATATCAAGACATTGTGTATTTTCCTCTTTTGGTTCACTAGTGGAAAATAGTCTATTTTTTCGGGGGCCTGAAACCAACTGGAAGCAGACGTTTGATGTGTATTTGTTTGACTGGTGTTTAATGTTATCCTTGTGGTTCCCCTTTAGAACTACCACTCCGCAAAAAGAAAGAACGAAAAACACCGCTATTTGGTTGCTGTTTGAACAAGTTCAATCAAAGAGGGTGTTGAAACATGTTTAACTCTTGGTCTGACCGGTGTGACCGAATCCAAAGGCCCCCGTTTGGAAAAGCCTTTTGGAACAATGGCTTATCCACACAGAAGGTCGTTCGGGATATGTTTCACATGGCCGGGATTACTGAGCAGGATCCAAATTTCGGGGGTGTCTTTTTGAGGTCCCCTTTTGTTTTGCAGTGTCCCACAAAAGGCCCAGCAGGTGGTTGTTTGACTCACCCACTCGCCCCTGCAGGGCAGCCGTCGTTCAAATGACTCAGGCAGCAGCGTTAGAGCAGCACAAACAGTTTTGGAAGCTGGGAGAAGCAGGACATGCATCACCAAGTGACCAAACGACCAACCGGCCGACCGTGGTTCTCAAGCTTTTAGCTTCTTAGGATACACCATGATAACCTCACACAAAACCACACGCCAAAAACAAAAGAGGTATGCTTTACACGGCTCACTTCCGGAGTTCCGTTTCAGACTTTGAACTTTTTGGGTTTGGACCTTTTTTAAGTCCCAAAGGCTCCCGATTGATTTAGGGCCTTCAAACAACCAGGTTTTGAGACCCCCAAACACCTCCGGGGTGTCTAATGGAGGGGCCGGGTCTTCCATTGAAAGCCCCAGGAGCCTCTGGGGTGGACAACAACCAGTGTGGTTGCGCTATTTGGGGGCCATCCACTAACATTACCGCACTCCACTCACTCGTGTGCAAAGTATGTTTTTCGCCTCTTGGCCCGGCCCAGGTGTGGAGTATCTGGGCCCGGACATGTTCGTCAAGGAGCTGCGCTCGGGCAAGGGCTATGTGCATCAGCACCCGGCGACTTGGGAGCATTCCAAGCCCAGCAGTACAGAACCGGCGGTTTCCTCCGAATTCCGTATTTATTCAGAGGAAACAAGGGGGAGGGGGGAGGGAGGGGCTTGACACTTATTTGGGGTGTGTGGCTTCTTCTTTTTGCGCGGGCCACCTAAAATGGTGGTTTCCTCGTGGTTTTCCTTTAAAAGCAGGTACCCTCACAAGAAGACACAAAAACACACAAACAATTTGGCATGTGTAGGGCTTTGGACTACTTACTTGCTTGCTCAATCAAGGGCAAAGTGAGATTGTGAACGGTGTTTGGGGATTCATCGGTTTCTTTTCTATGAATTCTGGCAACTTGCCCAGATATGTCCCCCCTGCTTGCAGACATCTCCTTTTGACCTACTTTGCATTCCAGAGAGTGGGCGGGCGAAAGACCAAAGGATGACTTTTGGCGGAATTGGTGACAGCTGGTGAAATTCCCCGATTTCAGCGACCAATTCACTTGCGCTGTCGGAGCATGTTCAGTCATCACCTTTGGATTTCCGGGTCATATATGTTTGGAACTGCACAGGCCCATGCTGCAAGACTACTAGCACTAAACGGGTTCCGGTGAAAACAATGTTTGGTTGATCCTTTGGCACATGTTGCAGGACCCAGACCCAACGGACCCCTGGTATTTGTCCAATGGAACGCAACGGTGGCAGACTAGACGTTAGTCACTTTGCGGAATTGGACCATTTTAGTGGCACTCAAAAAGCTTGGTTACTTTGCTTTGGCCCATCCACTGGATCAGAAGCAAGGAGGAACATTACTTGGGAACCCTAAAAACCGCGTTTATGAATCTTCTAGGGGTACCTTTCCCATTCTTTCTAGGGATCCTTTCTCCAGAAACCCAGGGAAAACAGTCAGTTTTTGAACAGAACGAGGAGTCATCCCCTAGAAATCTACTTTTGCGCTAGCTGGTTGTTGGCCATGTCAGTTTGTAGAGCGACCTTAGAATCATCCGGACCGTGCCACAAAAATCCCCCTTCCCAGTACTTCCAGTTACCACTTTAGTTGGAAACCAGGGAAAACCCTCATGTAAAAGCTGAAGATAAGAAAGAGTGGTTGCCTACTGTAGTGCAACTGGAAGTACTCGACTTGATTAGTGTCTTTTGAATGTGTCAGACCAACTGAGCAAATGACCCTGTCAGTGTTTCCTTGGTCTTTGGTGGTACCATGTCTGGTTGAAAAACCGTGTGGCTTGGTTAAGGCAAACATTTATTGACATCCATCATACGCATGGTCCCCGATCCTAGGTTCAAGGCATACACACATACGTGTTTTACATATCAGTACACAGTAGTTTTATTCATGAGCTCTACATGTGTATCCATGTACTATATATACGTAGACAAATATATATATATATACATATATATATATATATATATCTGCAATACACGTGTGTGCGTGCATACTGTGTAGGTGCCTAAGCTTTCAAGAGAACCCCCATTGCATTTTTTGGTTTGTTTGTCCTGTTGCTTCCCTTTTAAACCCACCAAAAAAAAGAAGACGGCACCCACACCAAAAAGACGGCTTCCCTTTTTAACTCGCCCATTTTTGAACCCAACCAAAAGCAAAGACGCGCGCACACACCTCTCCCCCCCCCCCCGAACTCCGCCCGCTCGGAGAGCTGGGAGCTGAGGACATCGCGGGGCGGCCGGTGATGGTGGCTATCGCCCGCAGGCATTTGAAATGGAATGGGGGGAGGGCGGTGTGGGGGGTCGGGGGTGGGGGGTGGGGGTAGGGGGGAGGGCGGTGTGGCGGGTGGGGGGTGGGGGGTCGGGGGTGGGGGGTTGGGGTAGGGGGGAGGGCGGTGTTGGGGGTGGGGGAATTGGGGGAATTGGGGAAGGCCCTGGAGATCTTTTATAATTTGAGTATGGGTCAAGCTTAAGCCAACAGGCAACCGCAGGTTTTAGTCCATGTTTCCATTTGCCAGGGCAAGCCATTTGGGGTACTTATTTTTGACCCACAGCCATTTCTGGCAACCCATGTTTTCCTTTGGCGAAGACTGGAAAATGGTATTGGGGGACACCCCACCCACCCCACCCCCTCCCTCCCCCCTCCCTCCCCCTTATGGTAGGGGGATCAGGCACTCCATCTTCCACCGGGAGTTGCTCGAAAGCTCGCGGATGTGCACCTGGATGCTGGAGCCAGCCGAGCCGGGCCGAATCGGCATCGAGCCGAGAGATCGTTTTTTGTTTTTTCTTTGTTGTCGGGTGTTCAGCAAATGGTCCGCTAAACCTTAGGTTTCCAGTGATGCTTAGTGTTTTTTATTCCATGGTTTTCGTTTTTTTTTTTTTTTTTTTTTGTTTTTTTTTTTTGGTTTTCAGTTTAGTTTTTAGTGGTTGGGTTCCATTGAATCCACAAGTTTAAGCGTTTAGCAGGGAGACAAACACTGGGCCGGTCACAAGGTCAAGCCAAGTCACGCATCCTCAAAGAAAAACAATTCCAATCCGGTGTCTCCCAAAAAAATGCGTTGTGTCCTAGGACTAAGAACGGAGTTGAGTCGGAGCATCTGGGGAGGGGGAGGGAGCCCAAATAAGCCCTTATCAAGCCCTTAAGCCCTCATTTAGGTCTTTTTCTCCCTCCCTCCCCCCTCTCTCCCCACACAAGGCATAGATCATGGACGCCCCAAAGCGTAGATCAAGCATGGGAACTGCGGAAGCCGTACAGTTTCCCAGCTGCCCAGTGTGCCCTTTTTTCCTTTTTTTGGCTTAGGGTTCCCCTTTAAAGTCAGCCAGCCAAAAAAGACGGATGCCCGAGCTTTTTCCCCATGGAAATCCACTGGGCTGAGGTTCACACCCGAGCCCGCAAACCGGGGATGGTTTCTTCTTTGGGGAAGCTGAACTGGGATGAGAACATCTTGCTGGTAATTGGGGAAGTAAATCACCGAGTTCAGGAACTTCTTTTCTTCCCGTTTTTTTTTTTTTGTTTGGTGTGTGTTTTCCGTGTTTTTTTCCCCCCCGGATTTTAGCGGTAAACCAATTCATGCCGATTCATGGGCTTTTTCGGACACCATGGTGTGGGAATGAACATGTCGGGCTCCATGAAAGGAAGCCGCATCGTTTTTTTTTTTTTTTTTCTCGGGGTCATTCCAACTCGTTCCTTGCTGAGAATTAGCAAGCGGCAACCCCCGATAGTCGCCTGGTTGTAGCGACCAGTGCGAGTCGAGGAAAGAACTCACTCATGCACGAAATAGGTCAAACACTCGAGGGTAAATTGTCACTGTACCCCGAGGAATAGTCGAGTGGTTGATTTGTTCCTGCCCGGGAAGACGGGAAAAACAGGGGGCAAGCTGGCTGGCTCGCAGGGACTCAAGACAGGCGTTGAAATGAACCTGGAGTTGCCCTTAATGTTAACCCCAGATTCATAATACATATGTTTCAAGGTTGGCGAAAAATGCAGAGTCAGCAAGAAACAACATGCACTTATGTTGCCCTTTGCAGCATAGAAATGGGTATGTGCCAAAGTCAACCCCCCTAAAATGGCTTCGGCGTTCAAATCCAATTCCCCAACAGGTTGCAGATTTGCAGAAGCATCCATATCACGCCCTTCAATCGGCGTAGCATCCGTGGGTGTTCGTTGCCAGGTAGTAAGTGGTTAGTACCCTAGGTTATATCCCAGGGCAAACAAATAGGTAGCCCCAGCCAACAACTTACCCTCCCACCCTGTTCCCATGGAACCTGACGTTTCGGGGGGGGGGGGGGGGTCCTGGTTTGGCCCGTTTTACCCATAAAGGGACCAGGCTGCCGGCTGAACCGAACCGGGCTTCGAGGAGACCACGCTCCAGAAGCTGTCCATGCTGGAGCCCCCCCGGCCTGGCGACTCGCACCAGGAGCAGTCGCGAGCCCGTGGCTTCCCGCCCTGGGCGGGGGGGTCGGGGGGAGTCGGGGATTTTTTTGGTCTTGGCAGAGGTCCTGTTGGTAAGTTGGGAATCACCCACTTCTAAGTCCCGCCGGGTTGACCCTATTAGTGGAACCCAAACCATTACACATTGATCCAAGTAGATTTCCCAAGTGTTCAGTGTTCTGTGCCCTATGTTCCTTAGCACAGCTTTTAACCACTCGGCTGGCGTCCGGTACCCTACGCGTTCAGGAGATGGAGCCGGAGCAAGCCCTTGGCATCTTCGACCTTCGGGAGTTCTCCCCTTTGCAGGCGATCCGAGATCCGAATCCCACGAGCCGCCAACGGCTTTTTTTTTTCTGCTTCCGCCCGACGCGTGGGAGTCCGGAGAAAGGAGCCCGGAGTCCGCGGCCTTCGTTTTTTTGTTTTTTTTTTGTGTTTGTTTCTCCGAAGTCTCGGCCCGAGACCTGCCAGTGGTGGACTAGCCATCAACTAACGCTCGGGAGCTGGCCCGCCATGATTGCGCCTTGCTGGATCGCCGACCTCGCCTCTCGCGAGGGCGACTTCACCGGAGTGCTTCGCATTGGTGGAGTGCGCATGGGCACGTACATCTCCGCGGAGGAGGTGTCCATCGGCATGAAAGTGTGGATCCCCGACTTCTTCTCGCGGGAGCAGCTCGTCACCGTCTACAGCTTCGTGGCTTGCCAGTCTTCAGATGGCTCCACGTTCGTGCTGCCCCAAGATCAATCCACTTGGTATGCCCACAACCCCATCAGCATTGTGAACTACCAGCACATCAAGGAGGTGTGCTCCGGCATGGGTGGCCTGGGACTAGGCGCCGCTAAGACTGGCATCCGCCCAGTCGCCTACTTGGACCACTGTGCATTGGCCTGTGAGGCCCTCATCAAGAATGGCGCCAACAACGTCATACACGGCGACTTGTGCAATCTTCAGGACATCGCTCGCCTACATGGAGCCAGTGATCACAGACGAACTGTACTTGGAGCAGGATTTCCCTGCCAACCATACAGCTCTCAAGGTGACAATCGCGGCAAGCACGACCCCAGATCTAAGGTCTTTCTGGCCACACTTCAAGCAGCTTGGTTGACGCAAGCCTCTGCGGTGATTCTGGAGTGCGTCCCGGGAGTCCAGAACCATGGGTTCATCAATGAGCACCTCATCGAGCTTGCCACCTTGGATTTTAGTTGAAAACCATCGTACTGTCGCTGCAGGACCAGTGGCCATGCAATCGGGTTAGATGGTGGGCAATCCTTGCTCCAAAGGAACTTGACCTCACCGACTTCGTGCCCTGGGGCAAAGACATCCACTTCAGTACCATCCAGCACGTCATTCCTGACTGGCCGCTTTGGGACACCGTGGCTGAGAATCAACTCCAACTGGACGAGGTCGAGCTCACGTTCTACACGGACAGCAACTATGGCCAGGAACCTCGCCTACTACAACAATCTGGAACATGCCCCACGCTGCTCCATTCCTATGGCAGTGTGTTGCGCCAATGCCCTTGTGGTTGTCGGCAAGCTCCTTTCAACCTACAGCGACTACAGCGTGGGGGCATCAGGGGATGTTACATCATCTCCCAAGTCACCGGGAAGCCCCGATACCTCCATACCTCTGAGGCGGCCCTGCTATGCACCATCCCAGTGAACTACAAGTTCCCCGGGGACGCCAGAGCAGGGCTTCGGGCTCACGAAGGTGGACTACATCGCTACGACCCTTGCTAGTCAATGGAACATCCCGTGCGAGTGCATCCAAAGCCTCACCTACTACCACCAACAAGACAACTACACGTGCGGCACCATAGCACTTGCCCATCTCGCGGCTGTTCTCGACCTCTGGCCGGAGTCCAACCAGCCAGACATTGCTACTTGGCATCGTCACCTTCAAGCTGGCAACCTCACCAACGAGTACATTCACGCAGCCAACGGCCCATGCAATGAAGAGGAAGTGCTCAAGCAGCTCACCGCCATCCTCACAGACAAGGGCGTACCACTTGATCGCGTCGAGGAGAGAGCCACCCATGCCATCAAGAAGCTCGGCCTAAGCAGTATTGCTGAGGCCTTGGCCTCCAAGCAAACATGGAGCGCCCTCAAGGCGCTAGGGTCCAGGCCATCGAGCCCCTTTCAGTGGATCAGGCACGACGAACTCCTCAAGAAAGTCCAGCTCAAGGCTGCCAACCAGTTTGGCATCAGCACCTCCGTCAAAAAGAAGTGACAAGAATAAACCAGAACGTGCCTCTGAAGGCAAAACTGAGTGCAACATCACGCCCAGCGAGCTTCAGCTCATACCAGGCACATTCACTGGGGAAGACGGCATCCCCATTGAAGCCCTCTCCATCCACAACCTGAGCAAAGGTCGCACTGGCATCGCCTTTGCTACCATCAGCGAAGCAGCTCCATACCTCAAGGAAGGAATCCAGCTCAGCGCTGGCCCCCTGGCTATACTCACCACCACCTGCATCCCACCAACGCTTTGTGGACAACTTCCAACCGAGAACCTCCTCTTCCCTGCAAAGCACATTGCCACGCAGGAACCCATCCTCATTCACGGCAGCATCATTCAGCTTGGCCAGTCATAGTTGCACGGCCAGTACGCAACACACTCCCAGATGTCGCACCCATCGCCACCTGTACGATCAAGCTTGCCATCTACCAGGACCAATGGGCCAACCCATGGAACACCTTCGTTGAGGGACCTATGCGTCAGGTCATGCAGCACTACCCCATTATGACGCTCTGCCGCTCTGAAGGTTGCGGTGACACCTGCCGAAAATTCCATCCTCCAGTTGATGAAGAACAAGTCACCAGTGTCATCCTTGACATCTGGGGAAGGCAGTGGGTCAACGCACAAGGAGCTCGTGTCCCCAAAGAAAAAGCCACCAGCTGGACCGCTCTTGTTCGAATCCCTCAGGTTGCTTTCCACAACCTACTCAACCTTTCCGGCACGGATGGTCTTTATGTCGACCCCAGGGACTCCACAGGACGCTCCCCGGATGAGCAGTTCGGTGTCGTCTGGCTTGCTGGAGCTACTCTTCAGACCATCTCCTACAAGCACAGGACCACAGAAAGCTCGGTCTCCATCGTGCGTCTCAACGACCGATATGGGCTCCGATTCACCTCAGACCACCTACCACAAGCACACAAGGAGCTCAAGCCCCCGACGAGCCGTACCTCCAGGTCAAGGTCGTTCCCCTTCCTCATGGAACTCAGCGGCAAGGACTCGTCAAATCCCTCGCGGCTTGGAAATGGAAGGCCAAGCCACTTCAGCCATGCAAAGGTGACCAACACGGCATCGGATGGGAGGTCGGCGCCGACACTCCCCCGCCCAGCGACATCCTTCAAGGAGCTCATGGCGATGTTCTTGTTACCAAGCTCCGAACGCTCAAGCCCGATCTCAACGGTCCCTCACTGGTCGCCTTCGACAGGACGCAGAAATACCTGAACAACAACCCCGAGCCAGCCGCCCGTGCCTCGCAAGACCCGTGGCAAGCCGGAAGTGACCCATGGTCACAGTGGTTTCATCAACATCCGGCTGAAGGCAAAAGCGCAGGAACAAAGCCAACTGCAGATCGTCTTCAACAAGCCGAAGAACGCATCAAAGCCACCGTCACTGCCTCGCTCCAGAAGCAAATTGACCAATGGCGGCAACCCTCTGGATGGGACACCGACCAGACCATGGAGGGCGACGATCACAACAAAATCGACACCCGCTTCCAGTTCCTGGAGCAAAAAGCACAGCACAACCGGGGCTCGATTTTCCAGCACATCTGATGTGCCACTCCAACCAGTCCACGTCCCACGTTTTCACTTATATCATCAGGTTGGTCGACTACAACACATCAGATTCTGGATTGACAACATCCAGCTGTCCAGCATTAACTTGTATGCTTGGCCAACATCTCCTACGTGGCCCAATGCCCGCGCTCTCACTGAGGAGATGCTCCAGAGTATCACAAGTGAGTACATCCTCGGCTCCCACGGAATGCGATACGTCTCGGGTGACTTCAACCACCCGGAGACCCTCCCCTCACTTCAAGCCTGGATGCAAGCCGGTTGGGGAAATTCAGACACTCTACGCCAGAATCTCTGGATGTGCTCCTCAGAACACGTACAGAGGAATCCCTCGACCCGACCGCATCTACATCTCTCCTGAGCTGGCGGCCTACTTTGTCCAATCCCGCTTCACAACCTGGTTCTCCGACCATGGAGCCCTCTCCGCCACGTTTCGACTTCCCGATGGTGGCGCTTCCTACTGGGCTTGGCCTCTCCCAGCTCAGATTCCATGGGATGATGTCCAGATCGACGCCTGGCACTCCGACTTCCAGCCCGAGCCTCAACTTCTTCAACCTACCACCAACCTCACGCATCACTACGCACAACTTGGCCAACTTTACGAGGAAGGCCTCCATCAGCACCTTCACGCTACATCGCGCACCCCACTTCCCTCAGCTTGTTGGGGAAGAGGACAAAGGCTTCGACCCAGACGGCGGCTACCGCAACCACCACTATCTCGACCCAGTCGGCAAGGAGAAGTCCACCTCTGCTCCGACCAGGCCGGCCGTGCCGTCTTGCAGTGGTTCCGCCAACTCCGTCGACTTCAGAGCTTACTACACTCTGTCAAAGCTGGCGGTCAAGAGGCTACTCATCAACTTTACCGTGCTGAAGTTTGGCGAGCTGTCCTTGTTGCACGGGGCTTTCAATCATCCTTCTCTGAATGGTGGCAGACAAGACGGCACCAGCTTCAAGGCAGCCCTCATTGCTTACCAGCACATGCTCCTGACCTTGAAACTCTTCAACGAATCTACACTGACTATCAGCACAACTTCCGCTCCTTCGAGAGCTGGAATCTGCGCCAGCAAGCGAAATGCAATCGGGTTAGAATGCAGGAGCACCATGCTCGCATCTTCAAGACCCTCAAGCCGGCTAGAAGAGAACCCATCGATCGCCTGGTCGAAAAGAAGACTGCTACCATCATTGCGGTCTCCTCGGATGGCACCCAGGTGCTCACTGACCAGCCCTTGTCGGCCGCCAAGCACGACTCATGGTGGGTTGACAACGTCCCGGCACAAATCACCCACATCACCCCGGACACCTTCCAGGTTGACTCGGATCTCCTCCTAGTTCCTGGACAACAGCTACATCAGCACATCCACATCACTGAGGATGCTCAAATCCACGAAGCCCTCAGCCACTTCTGGACCGACAGATGGAGCAAGCACAAGGACCTCCCTCCAGAAGCCTGGCAGCGCATCTTCGGCTTTGTACAAGCCTTTGTACCACGCAGTTTGATCAAGCTTCCTGACCTCGACCTCTCTTCTTGGGATCAATCACTGCGAAGATTCAAGAAACACACAGCAAGAGGCGCTGATGGCTATGGGCGCAACGACCTTGTCAACATGCCCGATCCACTCCGTCAAGCCCAAGTGGACCTCTTTCGCTGCATTGAAAACGGTGGACAATGGCCACAACAGCTGCTCACCGGCTTCGCCCATGGCATCGCCAAATGCGACGGGGCCGAAGAGGTCGCTCAGTTCAGGCCGATCATTGTGCTCCGCATGAACTATCGCAACTGGGCATCCTTCAGAGCTAGACAAGGACTCTCCAGACTCGCAGCTTATGGATTGTCCAGCCTTCGGCTTCTTGCCTTCTCGTGAGGCTCAGGAGATCTGGCTTCCTCTACAAGCTCACATTGAGCTCCACGCTCAACAGAACCGACCTTTGGTTGGCGGACGTCGAGAAGGCATTCAACCACTTGCCGCGAGTGCCCATCAAGCAGATCGCCAAACACGTTGGCTTCCCCTCCAACTTTGTGGAGGCCTGGCATCGATTCCTCGTTGGATTTTCCCGAAGATTTTGCGTCCATGACACGGTGGGTGGCCCGCTCTTCTCCAACTGCGGCTACCCCGAAGGATGTCCACTCAGCTGCCTGGCCATGGCTCTTGTGGACTGGTGCTACCACCTGTACGATTCACACTTTTCGCCACGGGCCACCTCGGCATCTTTTGTTGACAATCTTGAAATTGTCGCAAATCAGGACGCCTTTCTCGAGATGTTCCAGCTACGGATCGACCTCGACAAAACCTACCTCTGGGCGGTCCATCCTCAACATCGGCAGCAACTTCAGCTTATGGGGCGCCGTATGAGCCTCAAGGATAAGGATCTCGGCGGACAAATGACCTATGGTGCCCGCAGGAGAACAGCCCATCACCCGGACATCCTTGCTGGACTTCAATCAACCTGGATCCTGCTCAAGAAGCTCAACGTTCCAACCTTCAACAAGCACCTTGTCCTCTACCAAGCCCTGTGGCCACGTGTTTTTCACAGTGCGCCCATTGAGGACTTCTCCACTGCCAACATCAAAAGCCTACGCACTGCTGCAGTCCGCGCCACCGGCACGGGCCCCGAATCCGGCTCAGTCTTCTTTCAGGAAACATCCTGTGTGACCCCGGATTCTTCCAGCTCTGGCAGGTCGTACGCACCTTCAGGCGCATCCTCCACAAGCAGGCTTCCCTGATTGACACCTGGGCCGAATTTACTGCCTCTTACGATGGCCGTGCTTTTGCTGGACCATTTACGGTGTTACTACGACAGCTCAACGCCATCACGTGGAAGATTGCATCCCCACCTACACTTGTCGATCATGAAGGGCATCACCACAACATACTGACCATTGACATTGGCCTCCTCCGACTACTTCTTGAAGACGCCTGGCTACAATCCACCTCTCGGGATCTTGTTCAGCGGGCAGACTATCAGGGCCTACAAGGAATCAACTGGATAGCCAGTCTTCACTGCAGTGCCCGACTTGACGCCCTCGAAACTGCCAGGGTTAACACCCTTCGAGAAGGAGCCTTCTACCTCAACTCCCAGAAGGCCAAGTTCGACAACTTCACTGCCAGCCGGTGTAATCACTGCTCTGCCCTAGATACCGCCGAACATCGTTGCCTTGAATGTCCAGCACATGCTGAATGTCACGCCCAGCACGATCAAGCGCGTCGTCTTTGGCATGATTCACCTGTATGCCTACGTGAACGACTCCTTCTCCCTTGCAATCCGCTGCTTTGTGAAGTCAGGGACTATCTCGACAGCCTCAAGTACAAGCAGATTGTCTTTGAGACCTACGCCCAACCTGGTCAGACCGTGCGCTTGTTCACTGACGGCTCCTGCACATCTCCTACGTACCGGCCATTGGCCTTGGCATCCTGGGCAGTCATCTCTGCAACGCATGCATGCCAAATCGCAGCAGGACCACTTGCCGGCAAAGCACAATGTATCAACCGGGCTGAACTTACAGCCATTTTGTACGCTGCAAGATGGACACATCAATGCGGATGTGCTACAACCTTGTGGACTGACTCTGCATATGCCGCTTCTGGTGTTTGGAGACTTCAAGCTGACGAGTTTGACGCCCCTGATACAAGCAACAGTGACCTCTGGCAGGAGCTCCGGCTACATCTTGAACGCCTTCAACCTGGTCAATTTCGGGTGCTTCACCTTCCTGGCCATGGACGCCCTGATGAATGCGAAGACCCAGCTGATGAATGGACCATCAGGTGGAATGGGGCTGCTGACGGAGCAGCCAAGCTCGCAAATCAGCAGCGGGAGCCCTCCTCCTTGAGTCTCTGGAAGGATAACCAGCGTGCTGAACAAGCACAACTTCACCACCTTCGCCTTTTCCAAGCCCTTCACCTTGCTGTTGCACGCAGCAATGAGAGCAAGGAGAAGGCCAAACAGCTTCGGCACGCTCCTGATGATATCCCTGATGATGAAGAGGTCGCGACCTATCAGCACAGTGAGGGACAGGCCAGCTGGCTCGTCTCACTCAGTCAGGAATGGTCATCTGAACTCGATGGTTCGAAGCTTGAGTTTCAGTTCGGGCCACGTTTTCCTCGACAGGTTTTTCAATGGCTTCATCAGAAAGCCTCCACCTGTGCTAGCCCGGTATTCGTTTCATGGCTTGAGGTTGCTGTCGCACTCAGGCTTCTCACCGCGATGGTGCCATTTGGAGGGACCAGCATGAATCCACCTCAGTTCAAGGTACCCTTGGCTCGGATGTGCACTTGATTAGGCTCCTTTTTCGCGGTTTCGCCTCCTTGTTTTCCTTGAACTTAGGTGAGATTCGAGGCCTCAACCTTTCGTTGCTCGGAGTTGGGCCTCCTCAAAATGGTCTAACAATAGACCTCCCACATCGCATTCTTGTCGATGTGGCAAGTGCAATCCGCACCTTCTGCACTGGCCGGCCGATTCGCACGGCCAATGATTTGGCCAGGCCTTTTCGATAAGACCCCACAAGGGGGTCTGCACTCGCTGTGGCACAACGCCACCTGACAGATTGGACGTGCCGCACTGCCGCCCGGCCGTGCGCACGTTGCAGCGCGTGAGTGTGTGTTTGTTTCTCCGGAAGGTGGGGAGGGTGGTTCTTTGTTGAGGGTACGCCATGTGTTTGGTTGCGTTGGAGGGAAACCAGATTGAAAGAGCACATTTTTGTGCGGAAGCCCCAAACATGCCCGCACACACTTTCATATTTTTGAACTTCACCCAGGCATTCTAGAGGGAATCTAGCACTGGACATCTGTTCTCATCCACTTAAGCCAGTGGAAGTAGTGGCCCCTGTTTTTCGTGGCTTGGCCAAAAAAGGCCCAATCCAACATGCCAACCATAGAAAAGTCTGGACCCCCGTGCGTTGATGGACCTCCTTTTGCTTACATGACCCTCACACCAATTAACAGCTGGAACCTGACGTTTCGGGAGTTTTGGGTTGGACCATGGCCCTTAAGGGACCGGGTCCCTGTCTTGGCGGGAGGGTGACCACGGCTCACCACTAAAATGGCAAACACACCCAAGTGGCTAAAATCCGAAACACGGAACTCAGATTGAGCTTATCTCGCAAACGCAAGCCGCCTGGACCTAGCGGATTAGAGAAAGCCTTGGAGAGCCTCGTTGCCAGCGACATTTGTATTCTGACGGTTTAAGTTTTGGGGGTGATCAACGTCAGAAATGGGGTTGTTCCCCTTTAACCCACCACTTAGCGGGTGACTTTGACCATGGTAAAATAATGAGGCCAGGAAAAAATGAGAAAACAGACAAACAATAAAAACAATAAGAACATAAGACATGGAAAACAAGGAAGCACATAACAGATGAATCTGTTTGTCGCTTCCGGGGCTCGCTCGCTGTTTGAATCTGTCAGGCAGACCTGGAGGTGGCCGGGTTCTTGATTGAGGCCAGAAATCGCGTCGCATGGAATCGAAGTCCACCAGTTCCTTTTGCTTGCAGTTGCTGAAACGATTCTGTCTATGTTTGTTGACCCCCTTTTTTGGTGTTGAAGGGAATTGAATTCACTGGAAATAGTTTCTCAGGTTTTGCCACGGGGGAGCAAATGGAAGTTTGGGCGGTGCTTTCCCTTTGGGCGCTGTTTCGCAAAAAGCAAAAGGAAACCACCTGTAGGAGACCGAATCCGATTTTGAGAGCACCCCCATGAATACTGGGATAAATCCCTGGTGAATGCTGATTTCCGGAAGAAGTGGGTTTCATTGTGCTGGTGTCATGTTTAACTGGTCTTCAACAAAGGCATCTAAGGTAAAACCGAGCGAAACTGAAATTGATCCAAGTACATCATATGTGCGAGTTTGTTTAAACATGGCGTAGTACTTAGGACCCTTTTGGTAAACCGTTTTGAGGGTCAAAGCCGGCCGCGACGATCTCCGACTCGGACCCTACTCCAAAAATGTCGTGACGGTGACTGCTCTTGGCCTCACCTGGGCAGTCTCAGTCGGCGGCCGGGCGATTCCCCATCTACGTGTCCTCGGAAACTACTCTGCCAAGAATGAGAATGTCATGACGGCCCTGGCCGCTCTGGGCCTCACCTCCTGGGGACGGTTCACGCTGGATGGCTTTGGCCAGCGGAAGTGAGTTGCTTTAAAGCGACTTCCACGGCTTTGCGCACGCTCTTTGCTACATTAGAGCTGTAAACTGCAAACGCTAACTCCTTCCACTTACTGAAAAGTAGTGCTTTTGTTCTCCCTCCGGTTGGTTTCAAAGCGAATCGATTTCACTACTCAAAAGATGTTCTCTTTGTTTTCAGGGGGCGAAGAAGCAACTGGAAGTAACTTGCTGATGGTAAAGCAAACCAACACCAAAAGGGCAACAGGAAAGCCCAGTCCGCCAATGACAAAGGGCGTTCGTCCTTCCAGCGGGGAAGTCATACTCACATCGGCCGAACAGGTGATGTTGGCAGCGCCTCCAAAACGGGACACACAACCAAAGCGCATCGGCCGGAGTTTAGCTTTTGTTTTTGGCCTTGGTCTTCTTGAACAATGAGTTCGCGAAAGGCAATCACCTCTGAACCTCTGACTCAGTGACCAGAGGTTAGATTTGCATAGGGGAATTCTTTGACAGCATGCTGGCTGATGAAGACGTGGCTGGCCTTTGATATGACATTGGCCTTTGAGACCTTTGGCTCAGGGGGGAGGAGGCCGGCAGAGCAGGCCTGCAGTTTTTTGAGGCCACAGCGGCTCATTTGGGGCGGGCCATGGAAACATTAAATCCGTCCAAGATTCCCCAGCCCGGCACCTCCCCGAAACCCTCGGGAACCTTTCCCAAAAGCGCGCCACGCCCGGGATTGGCAGATGTACCCCATTGGGAAAAAGTGTGCGAAACAACACAAACCACAGGTGGGAAATAAGCAGCTGACCTTTCAACTCGTAAGGAGGTGGGAATTTCAGGGTGTGGTTTGTCACGACTGCCTGGGTCTCGCTTTCCACTTCCTCACGCCACTACACCCGGCGAAACAGATTGACATGGCATGTAGATACATGTCTGGTATATATGACTAAATAGACTTAGCATAGTCGCTGTTGGGGCAACTTGGCGCCAGGTGCTGTACAACTACTACCCTGCGCGCACTGGGAAGGTGCTTTTGGTCGGGGCGCCGGACTTGTTCAAGGCCTTCTGGGACAACATCAAGCCCTTGCTGGGAAGGCCAGCCGCCCGCACGGGTGGAGACGGATCGCTGAGCCTAACGGTTTATTCCCAAATGAGTTGAGGCCATTTTCACACGCTCCAAGCAGTTCCTAGCATTGGATCCCGTCATTCCGGCGTTTGTTTAGCCGGATGGCCTTTCAAGGGGACCCAACCCTGGGCCACTTGGGATGAGCTAAGGGTTTAAATCGGGGGACCCTCAAAATGCCGGGTCTCGTTTTGGTTTCCCTTTGAGCAACCACCCCACCCAAATATGCCCCAGCTTCAAGAACATGAAACATTTTTCCTTCCCAGCCTTATTGGAGGTCCATTTTCCGAAAAGCGGTGCCTGCAATGGTGGTTGGTTTCTGTTGGTTCGCGTGTCAACCAGCGAATCCTCGTGTTCCAACATTTAGTGGTTTCCAGAAAAACCCACAATGTGCACTTTTAGGGGATCAGAAAACGGAGAGCCTAATTTCCTTTTGCTTCAACAAGGGGATCGCCTCACTTGCCCAAGGCGATTCGACCTTTTGACCTTGTGGTTTCTCTGTTTTTGCAATCATTTTTCGTCAAGGTCCCAAAAGCTGGTCACGTCTTTAGTTCCAGGTCCCTACGGGGCAACTGATCCACGTCTTTGCGTGGTCCCCTTGTTGCTGGCTCAGGCGGTCATGACCTTTCCTCGTACCGCTCGTACCCAACAACATTCTCAATCGGGTGTTGTGTGCGTGTGTCTGTGTGTGTGTTTGTGTGTCTGTGTCTGTGTGTGTGTGTTTTTGTTTTGAGTTGGTATCACTTTTGTTCTGGTGTTCAAAAGGGAGCCATAAAGAAAACCGATGCCATTTTAGTGGGTTCCCAGAGGGGTTCCTACAAAAACAGACCCAATTTGTCCTTTGAACAATTGAGAAAGGGAATTTGTTGGCGAAGACTTCTTTCATGTAGTGAGGGAAGACATGGGCTCGCTTGCATTGGAAACCACGGTTAGAGATTTGTTTGGGCCAGATGGGGCTTAGACCGACGCCAATGTCTTTTGTTTTGCTGTTTGAACGAGGGCTTTTTGACCAATGTTGCTCTTAAAGCGACCTTCTCAACTTTCATGCGAGTGGGAGGCCCTTTGGATTCTTATCAAATATGGGTTTAGATGGTTTTAGGTTGACTCTCTACCAGATTTGATTATGATTCAGATGGGGAATTGGGGGAACATTTGGATTGCCCCAAAATTTGCAAAACCGGCTTCATGATGCAGACTCAAGTACAGCAGCTAGTGCAGATTCATTTCTCCCCTCTAGGCTTGCCGATGTGTTTGGATGTGTCCGTGTGTTTCTTGAGAGCACCCCTTGTGTTGAGTCCGGGGTGCGGGTATTTTGCAGATGTGCCCTACAAGCGTTTCTTTTTTTCCACAGGTATTCCAAGCTCGCGGACTTTGTCACGGTGGAGGACTCACGAGCTGACCTTTGCATTGTTTGCTTCACTGTTCTTGGATCATTTTTTTGGGGGGGAGTTCTGTTCATTTTTACTGGGGGTCTGCAAAAAAAACAGTCAGTTTTTTGCTACCGTAAACCAAGAGTAGAGATGTTTGGCATGCGCGTCATCATCAAACTCCAAGAGTCCAAGAGCTGATCTTTCTCCGAGTTCCTTTCACCAAAATCTCCACTGCTATTGTGGAAGGTCGCTGTATTCATTACTTCTACTTCACGAGCAAACAATAAGAGGCTTCCCCAGAAGTAGTTCCCCTTTTTATTGTTTTGCCTTTTTGGGGTTACCTTTGTCTTCGACGAACCAGGCAAGAAATGTATTTTGTTGCCGGGGCAGCCTAGGAGTTACCCCCATCTCCGCAAACCTTTGGGAAGTGTACTGGCCTTGGACCTTTGGGAAAGGATAAAGCAGCTGTTTATCCGTGTGCGTGTGTGTGTGTGTTTGTAAATGTGCCAATGCCAACATATTGGGCCCAAGATGGGACTTGGACTGCAGCAAGGCAGATGTTAAGTCACATCCTGGTTCGGAGACATGCAGGAGGAGCCGATGAAGCCTGATAGGACATTCTCATCGGCCAAAAGTTTCCTCTGCTTGGTGCCCATTTTCAGTCAAGGCCCCCCAAAAGGTGATCATAGCTTTTATTTCTGGGTCCTTTTAGGCAACTGAGCGTCTATCAGTCGTTGAGGGCCATGAACTGCCCTTATGGCCCTCACTGGCTCAACACCTTGAAGATCAACCCTGTTTTTCCAGCTTTGGTTGCTTGTGGGTTGTTGCTTTTTTTTTCCCATGGCCTTTGGTGGGATGCTGTGAACCCACGAGGAGCTGCGGCACTACTTCCACCCGGGCCTCGAGCCGCCCGAGTTCGCCTCCGCCTCAGCCACCGCCCGCCGTGGCCTCGGCGCGCTCGGCGGACTCGGCGTCGGCGTCGGAAGCCTCGGGGCGGCGGTGCTGGCGGGGTGCTGGGCCCAACGAGGCCGGGCGAGGCGTCGTTGGAGTCGCTGGAGGGGTTTGGAGGCTCACTTCCTGCTTGGTCCCCCAGCTAGGTGCCCTTCTCTCCCCTTTTTTGGGGCAGGGCTAAAATAAACTACAGAACAAAGTGGGTGCCTTTATTCTAGGCTCTCTGCTGGTGGTTTTGCGCCGGTGAAAGGTGGTGGTTGCCATTAAGTGCCGGGGTGTTGGGTGAATTTCTCTGCAGGGTTCTTCTACAGAGAGATGCGCAGAGAGAGAGAGAGAGAGAGAGAAGGAGACAGTGAGAGAGAGAGAGAGGGAGAGACAGGGAGAGAGAGAGAGAGAGTGAGAGAGCAAGAGCGAGAGAGAAAGAGAGAGAGACACAGCGAGAGAGAGAAAGAGAGACAGAGAGAGAGAGAGAGTGAGAGAGCGAGAGAGCGAGAGAGAGAGAGAGAGACTCAGAGAGAGAGAGAGAGAGAGAGACTCAGAGAGAGAGAGAGAGAGAGAGAGAGACAGAGAGAGAGAGAGCGGGACAGAAACAGAGAGAGACAGAGAGAGACAGAGAGTGAGAGAGCGAGAGAGCGAGAGAGCGAGAGAGAGAGAGAGAGAGAGAGAGAGAGAGGGAGAGAGAGAGAGAGAGAGAGAGACGGAGAGAGAGAGAGAGAGAGATGGAGAGGCGAGAGAGAGAGAGAGACAGAGAGAGGCAGAGAGGCAGAGAGACAGAGAGAGGGAGAGAGAGAGGGAGACAGAGAGAGAGAGAGAGAGAGAGAGAAACAGAGAGAGAGAGAGAGAGAGAGAGAGAGAGAGAGCGAGAGAGCGAGCGAGCGAGGGAACTGGGGGGCAACAAGCAGGGTCTGGGGAAGGGCATGGTTTGATGGGTTGAGGAAGATCTGAAGATCATAGGAGCAAGATTTGGAATGATCGCTTCCCCCTGCTGACCCTCTGCCTAGCAGGGCGGAGACCGCTGGGGGCAGGATCACATCGAGTGGACAGGGTTTTACAGCCGCGGCCTCCAGTGCAAGAACCAAAAGCGTACATTGCGCAGGCTGATTTTTAGCTTGGTGAGGGGGTTTTCACTCGCAGGACAAGCATGACTGTGGGGGAGAATGCAAACAAATCCCCTCCTCCCCTCCCCTTTCCCCTTCCCCTCCTCTTCCCCCTCTCCTTCCCCAAACTCCCTCTCTCCCTCCCCCTCCCTCCCCATCTCCCCCCGCTCTCTCCCCTCCTCCCCCTCCTCCCCCTCCTCCCCCCTCCTCCCCCTCCCCCCCCTCCTTCTCCTCCCCCCTCCCTCCTCCCCCCACTCCTCTCCCCTCCCCCTCCTCCCCCCTCTCCCCTCCTCCCTCCTCCCCCCTCACTCCCCCTCCCTCCCCCTCCTCCCCCTCCTCCCCCTCCTCCCCCTCCTCCCCCCTCCTCCTCCCCCTCCTCTCCCCTCCTCCCCCTCCTCCTCCCCCTCCCCCTCCCTCCCTCTCCTCCCCCCTCCTCCCCTCCTCCCCCTCCTCTCCCCTCCCTCCCCCTCCTCCCCCATCATCCCCCTCCTCCCCCCTCCTCCCCCCTCCTCCCCCATCCTCCCCCTCCCTCCCCCTCCCTCCCCCCTCCTCCCTCCTCCCCCCCCCTCCCCCCCTCCCTCCTCCACCCTCCTCCCCCCCCTCCCCCCAAAAAATACAAGAACATATCTTGAAAGAAGTAAAATAATTTTCAGAACAACTTACCAAAATATAAAATATAGGTTTATAATTCAAATATTAAATAAGGTTAATACATTATTCATATTCATTAACCTTATCTAATTACTTGAAAATAATTTTACTTCATTGAAATATTATATAAGGTTAAGAAGTTATTCTACATATTAACCTTATACAATTTTATGTAAAATATTTATTAATAAAAATAATGTTAATTTTCTTCTGCCTGTTTCATTTCTAAATTTATTTTATGCTTATTTGTTTTAAGATGTTGCTTTTTTAAACATGGAGAAAAATAGCAGTCACAAATAACACACTGAATTTTTATACTGTTCCATTTTCTATTACTTTCAAGTGATTTATTTCTATATTCATCATCTTCTTCATATCTTTTTCTTTGCTCCTCATTGTATCTATCTTTATGTTTAATTCGGTTATTCCTTTTGTTTTCTGAACATTGCCTGCATTGTTTATTATCTTTATTAAATTCGTCAAATAGTTTCATTCTACCACAGTTTCTACATAATTTTCCATTATCAGTTTTGAATGAACCGTTTTCCAAAATTCCTTCATACATTTTACCTTTAATTAAAACACAAATGTTTCCTTCCATAGTTCTTATAATAGAATGTCCTTAAACCTTTAAATACATTTTAAGAAATTCCTATAATCAATATTCCTTGAAACTAGTTCCCAAAATCCCAAAATATAAAATCCCCATAATTTCAAAACATAAATCTTACAATGTTTTTTATTGTAAGGTTTATGGGTTAAATAAATATCAACTTGTCATTTTTCATCCATCCCAGCTTTTGGGGATGCCCATCCCAAAATTTCATTGTTTGGGGATGCCCCATCCCAAAATTTCATTGTTTGGGGATGCCCATCCCAAAATTTCATTGTTTGGGGATGCCCCATCCCAGCTTTTGGGGATGCCCCATCCCAACCCCAAACTCGTTTCCTTAGTCCGTCAAACTCGTCAAAATCTCACAAATCAATTCAGCAGGTATTTTGTATAAATCTTCCTGCTCATGTATTACAGAATTATCCCCCCATTCTGCTTTAGTTTTTGATGGCAGTCGTTCCAACTGAACCACTGCCTGAAAATAATTCTAATAAATTCATATTATTAGAATTATTTAGATATTTATTATATTAATTCGTATTTTCCTTCTTCGTTCTTAAGCAGTTTATAAAATTCAATAGTTTCTGTTTTTGGAGATTTAATTTTGTTCTTATTTAACATATCCATATATTGCTTTTGCTTATCTTGAAAACTGCCAGACGGCCTTCCTATTTGTTTCTTTTCAAATATTTTATCAATCTTTTCCTTCTCTTAATTGCTATTTTTTGGTTCGTATGCCTTTGCATCAAGTTTCTGGTCAATAGTTTTTATCATCTCGTGCAACAGTTTAACATTTTTACTAACTGTCATCATCTTCTTTGATAGTTCAGCAATAGCATCATTCTCAATTTCAGACATTTCTATATATATTTATTTATATAATTATTTATTTAAATATTTATTTATAAAATTGATTTAATGTAAAATCTACCCTTTAAGTACTAAATTTTCATCATTTGTTTAATAGTTTCCTGAGCTTCGTTATCTCCATTATCTGACATTGTTGCCTCATTGCCAAATTTGATAGAAATATTATGTGCATCTGTTTCCAGATTGATACTGTCCTTGGTTTTATCAATATTCATTTTCTTATCATTTTTAGTTATTTTAAACCCTAATGGCACACAAGAACATTTGCAATTTCCTTTCTTTTGAATTTCTAATTCGTTCTTCATTGCTAACATCTTTCTACACATAGGACACTCAAGCTCAGTTAGTGCTGTTTCTTTAACAATTTCTTCTTCTTTGTCTTCATGTGTTGAAGAAACTGTAGTATCTGTTTTATTCTTTTTGTTTTTCTTTTTTCCCATTTATATTAATATTTACATTTTTATTTTTGATATATTGTATTCCTAATTTTATTAATTCTAATGTATAAAAGCATACTTTCTTACATCTGTTATCAGTTATTATTACTTGTTCTATATTCTCTACTTCATCTATTATATCAATATAATCTGAATAACTTCTATCCATATTAAATAATAAGATGAAATAATTATTAAAAATAATTATTTGATCTTATTATTTTCATGCATAATAGAATATTGGTGGGGCACAGCACTTGGGTTTTCATTGCACACGCGAGCAAGACACAAAACTAATTATCTTCAATGCTTATTGGTTGAAGCAATGGAAAACCTGTTCCATTTTTTCATTGATATTTGCCGTCATCATATCATGAAAAAACGATGTTCCATTTAATATTAATTATAAATATTTTTCTACATATCTTTAATATTATTTTATTATGCCTGATGTTCCCATAGTAAAACCAATAAACATAACTGACTATGAATTTAAACAGTCTAAATATGAACACGTGCCAAAATTACCATTTAGAAGTATTATAGTTGCTTCTTCAACAGGTGGCAAAACAGTTCTAATTCAAAATTTGATATTAAATGTATATAAAAACTGTTTCTCTCGTATCTTTATTTTTAGTCCGAGCGTCCATAATGACCCTACTTTTGTTGAAGTCAAGAAATACCAACAAGAAGAAATGAAGGTGGATGATACAAAAGAGCAAGTGTATTTTGATGAATACCGACCAGAAGAATTGGAAAATATCATTGATACACAAAGAAAAATAATACATTATATGAAAAATACCAAAATGAAGAAATTATATTCAATTCTTATTGTTATTGATGACCACGCCGATGATACTAAATTTGTTAGATATAGTAAATTATTACACGGTTTATTTACAAGAGGTAGGCACGATGCCATTAGTGTTATTTGTTCAACTCAAAAATACAATGTGTTAGCACCAATCATTAGGTTAAATGCCAGTTCATTGTATATTTTCAGGTTGAAGAATGCCACCGAGTTAATGAGTTTCATAGAAGAAAATTCAGCAGTCCTTGATAAAGAAAGATTATTACAAATGTATCACACGGCAGTGGGTGATGCTCCATATTCATTTATGTATGTAAATATGAATTCTAAAGACATTAATACGACGTATTACATCAGATTTGAGAAAGCGTTTAAAATAAATTAATATTTAAAGAGTAAGTCTTATATAATCTTATATAATGCCTAAAAAGGTAATGGACTATTCTAATACTCAGTTTTATAAAATTGTTTGTAAAGACACTAATGACTTATCAATGTATATTGGACATACCACTAATTTTACTAAAAGAAAAAACAAACATAAAAGTTGTTGTTGTAATGAAAGTAGCACACATTATAACTTACCGCTATATAAATACATAAGAGACCAAGGACATTGGCATAACTGGGATATGGTTTTAATTGAAACTAAATTTTGTGAAACTTTACTTGAAGTAAAGAAATATGAACGAGAGTTGATTGATTTGATGAAACCAAACTTAAATGTAGCAAGACCATTTGTGACAGATGATGACTTAAACGAATATAGACAAAACTATTATCAAGAAAATATAGATACTATTAAACCAAAAAGACAAATATATAGAGACAATCATAAGGAACAAAAAAATATATCAGATAAAATATACAGGGAAAACAATAAAGAAAAAGTTTCTGATGGTAAAAAGAAATATTATCAAGAAAACAAAGAATATGTAAAGCAAAGAGTAAAACAATATAGAGAAGACAATAGAGAAAAACTGCTTGAAAAGATTGAATGTGAATGCGGTAGTTCCTTTCTGAAACGAGCAATCGCAAGACATTATAAAACAATGAAACATCAAGATTACCTAAACTCAATACAACAACCAGAAGAAACCCCAGAACAATAATTAATAATATTAATATTTTTTAATATTATTAATTCAGAACAAACTATAACTACACAAATTCAACGCTGGTAATTTATATATTAATTTGTCACATTTCATTGTCTCCAGTTTTTCTAATCTTTCACTCATTTGCTTAATTGCTTTCAACTGTAATTTATCAATATTACTTAAATCTAATTGTTCTACATCAATATCATTGATTTTATCAATACTTGAAGTTTCAATATTACTGTTTGAATTACCCATTATATATTATTATTTAGATTATAATATAATACAATAATAAATATTCAAAGGTATACAATACAATAATAAATATTCAAAGGAATTAAAATAGGCCAACAAAACCCC